GTAATGAGTATCAAATTGATATTTATGAAGTTAACTTTCTCTCACCCAGTAACTGATTGTATAGTTTGTGAATGTCATTCATCTTAGAATTATGTAGTGTTAGAACTAGGAGGGTTTTTCCTTAAAGATGACATAGACCAACCACACCTTTTATTTTTTTTTTCACTGAGAAATCTGAGACTTGAAGTCTCAGTCCTGAAAAAGTAGAAGTCCTAAGGTCTAAGGTCTCCAACACACCCAAGGTAAAGACAGAAACCATATTGGAAGCCAAAACCTCTTATGACTGGATTCCACTATGTCCCATGGCCTTTTTTTCTTAGCAAGTCTGTCTAAAAAGTTTTATTTGGCAACGCCAGAGATTGGAAGGGAATGGGTTTTGAGTTTACTGACTTTTCTTATTTTCCTTCCAATCTCTGGAGTTGCCAATAAAACTACTATGTAATACTGCTGTCTAAAGATGAGGCTTGGCTGTTTGTATTATCTCTAGCCCTTATTAGACCTCAGATTAGCAGTATGGTTGGCTTACATACCAGATATTTTCACTACCAGTCATTTGAACCACGTGGACTGACAATTCTTCATTATTCTTTAATTTCTCTTCATCCTCACTGCTGATTCTGTGTTGGTCTGGGGCTAACTTTTCTTCCGTGAAGTAAGGCTTAATTTAGAATCCTGTACCTATAATTTTGTTGATTATTTTGGCTTCCAATGTGGTTTCTGCTCTTTACTTTGGGTATGTTGGAGACCCTCTGTGGATTATCTGAAGAATAGCTTCCCTTTACTTACTGGGTCCTTTTAGGTGACTTATTGAAATTCTTTAAGCCACCGTTGTTCCAACTGCAAAATAGAGATTACAATTTAACCATTGCCATAGTGTCTTTGTATTGAAAAAGTTTTTTATAACATTATTGTATTTTCTATACCTTCATTTTATTTATTTTTATGTGGTGCTGAGGATTGAACCCAGTGCCTCACACATGTTAGGCAAGTACTCTACCACTGAGCCCCAACTTCAGCCCCAGTATTGAATAAGTTTTTAAAACTACATAGAAAATACTTAGTAGACTAGTTGGTATTACAATCATCATTCTTGAAGAATGAGAGAACAAAGAAGCTAACAAGCAGACTATGAACTCCCATTTTACCCCGTATACATATTGCAGAATCACATGCTTGAATCAAATGTATGAAATATGATATGTCAAGAAAAATAAATAAATAAATAATAAAAAATAAAAACAAACAAAAAAAGAAGCTAACAATATAAATGGTATGTTTAGAACCTTAGAATGGAATGCCAATTTAACCTGCAGTTCTGGCTTCTTTGGCAGTAAATACAAAAATAATAAAAAATATAATGATCAGTAAAAATTAAAAAAAAAAATATCATAATAAGAATTGACACTGATTGGACTTTACTGGTACAAAGTGCTTAGTGTTGTTTATTATTAGAATCTTCCCATTCTTTTGGACATCGTATCTCATGATTTTTAGTGCACAAGTGCAAGCACACTAAATTCAGGGAACTTATCCTATTATATTAACAACACAGATTTTATGAGTACTTATTGAATGTGTATTGAGTGAATACTAGAATCTAAACAGACAAACATAGATTATACACTGATTCACATGACAGATTCAAACCCTATTAATGGTCAGGACTATTTCCTTTGTGTCATTTTCCCTTTTTTTTCTGAAAGTCTCTTACTCAATTTAATAATAAGCTTATGTGAATTGTGGTTGTATATTTTGTGGATTATCTGAAGCATAGCTTTGATCTCTGACTTGCTTTTTCCCCTGTGAATATATCTGGTATATATTCACAGTTTAGAATGTCTACTAATGTTTCTGCTGTCCTGATCAGGGCTCCTTTCGGAAAGTAAATCAGGGCATTCTAAAACCATGTACAGGCAAATGTTTAGGTAGTACATGCAGCATGTATGACTACAACTATACAGAGATGCAAGAGTGAATTGTATGCTTGATATGTATTCATGAGAACCAAAGATCAGAACTGAGTTGTTTGAGAAATCATAGAAAGGAGTCTGAACTCTCACTTCCCATTCCTTATCATCTCCTCACCTTTTATCCCACTGAAGAATACCACAGACTCCCCTTGCCCAATGAGAAGCTTCAGCCAACACCCCCTGTCTGTCTGCTTTGTCACTCTGCATCACTCTGCCACACAGAAGCAAGAATGACACACATCCTACCCACCACTCCATTGGAAATTCAAGGCAGCTGCATCTCACAGCAGCTCTGATGCTGAGAGTTAAGAAACCTTCCCTCTTAAATTTCAGTAAGGTTCTCATTTTCCAAGACTCCCTTCTATTGTATGATGGTACAGAGGTGAACATGATGTGCACTTCAGAGTATGGCCCCAAGGGTCTGTAGCAGTAGATCTGCAGAGTTGGCAGATCACCGAATAGTTTATAACTCCCCACTCAGCAGGGCATGGTCACCTTAGAGAATGGATGGAAAATATCCCCTTGCTATAATTGGGTTTAGCCCTGTGGCTTTACACCATCTTATTTGGCAATCTTTTTACTCTTGACATATTTAGTAATCACTCTAAGGGAGATTTATTACACTGCTCATGGGAACAAACAATGCACTAAATATTACACATATGCATGCTTTCAATACCACTCCTTTTCTAGTCTATTATGAATCTTTCCCCAAAGTCTTTCTTTTAATGCTAATCAAAACTCCCTCATATTTAAATTTAAATTCTTCTTCATTCTTCCTTCTTCCAAAATAACCATGTACATCTTGAAAATTTTTGTAATTAGCCTTTTTTTCCAGTACTGTGGATCAAATCCAGGATCTTGTTCGCTAGGCAAGTTCTCTATCCTATGTATGTACATATCTAGATAGATAGATAGATAGATAGATAGATAGATAGATAGATAGATAGATAGATAGATATGTGCATACATACACACATACATATCTATCCTCAATCCCAGGAACTTTTCAATCAAAATTTGTTGGGACATGCTTAAAGAAGAATAGATGAAAACACATTTTTTTCAGTCCAAAACCACCGAAAGACATATTGCTGACTATTAATCCCAAAAACAAAACCAGAAATTTACCATATAATTAGGGTTGTGAAAATAGCCTCTTAGGTATCTCTGGGAAGTTGGGGGGGCAGACAGAGATAGACATATCAAAATATTTCAGCTAAACATAATTCAATAAAGTATTTTCTAAACCTCAAATTTGGCACTCTTACAGAGATATGGGGGAAGGGGACAGTGAGAATTTGGATTAACAGCTCATTGCCTGTGCTAACTAAAGGACTTCAACAGCTGGTGCCCCTCAGACATTTTCAAAAAAGCATAATATCCCACTCACCCAGACATATGCACAGCAAAATATCTTAAGTTAATCAATCTAAAACATATTTGAGAGAAAATATATCCAAGTCATGGAGACACTAAGGGGAGAGTCTACTCAGTGCTAGGCACAGTCCTAGATGTACTCATTTACTTAACACTCAACTACATATCTGCCACTGACCTAATTTTGCAGACTGGCCCACATTTTACACAGAAAAGGCAAAGCTACCATAAGAATGACTAGCTGGCTGGTCAAAACAGCTAAATTGGGGACCCAAGTAGGTAGCTACAGCTTAAACAGTTACATGATGACATTTTAAAAGACAGCAATTAACCCTACCACCTCTATCTTCAGGGTTTTCTCAAGCCCCAGTTTTCTCAACTGTAAAATTAATTGTTGAGAGAATTTAAGGTATATAGCCCTAACACATGGTAGTAGTTCATTTAAGTCACTTACTCCCCCTCCACCACCACACCCATATTTTCTCATCTTTCAGTTAGATTACACATATTCCTACATATCTGAACTTTTAGGGGCAATACATTAAAAGCACAAATGCAGGAATTAATGGTGGCAAGAACCCTTATTCAGCTGCTGGCTTTGCTAACCTAGAGGTGTGTGCTAAGGGGCTAGAAAAGCACAGATTCTGGAGCCAGACTGCCTGATTTAGCCTAGCCCTGCCTCTTATTACATGTGTGACCTTAGCAAGTGACTTGGCTTCTCTTTGTCTCAATCTCCTCATCTGAAACATGAGGCTAGTATTCACACTACATTATAGTTATCTATAAGAATCCAGTAAGCTAATCTGCATAAAGACCTAGCACTGCAGTAGGGGCTATTCAGCTAATGTTTGTATTCTCATATGTACTTTGATGGTAGACATATACATTATCTGGGCATAGTAAATTTGACAGGAAGCAATGGGTAGAGTAAATCCTACTGGGCTCTTTTAGTATGATTCCCATGATCCCAGCCAGCCTCTTTCAATTTTGTCTCCTTTCCCATATATGCAGACAAGGAGTACCAAAGAATACAAGGGCTCTCAAGGTGAAATTCTTATCTATTATGGTATAGAGTGATTAGATGAGGAGATTATTTAGTTCCCAGCAGTGGCCTGGACTGCAGAGGAACTCTGCATTCAGAATTGTACCTTATTTTCTTTTTAAATCATGTTTTCCAGAGGAAGACAGAACAGGGGACCTATAATATTGTCAAACATTATAGACCAACTGGGTCACAAATAATAACGTGGAAATAATGCTGGTGCTTCGATGTAACACTTGTTGAACTTTAACTGCATCAGAACCCCTGGAGGCCTTGTGAAAACCCAAATCCTAGGATCTACCCTAAGATATTCTGATTTACTAGGTCTGGAATAGGGCCTGAGAATCTTCATAAGCTCTAAGGTTATGCTGATGCTGCTGGTCCAGGGGCCACACTGTGAAAACCACTGGTCAAACATGTGTTTTGCATCCCTTCTACTCATTTCAGATCTAAGGTTTCAACATTTCATTTGTACATTTTGGCTTACAGATGGAATACATGATCCCCTCCTTCAAAAACACAAGGGAAATATTTGAACTCAGAGTAATGTTACTTCTTAATGTCTAATTTTATTTAATAAATACTGATTGTTATTTTTTTCCCCATAGTTGCATGCTGCTGTGACCAAGATCCAGGTTCCAAGGCCTGGTTTTAATTACACGTTTGCCCACATATGTATCCTGAATAATGATAAGACTTGCATCGTGGATGACATAGTACATGTCCTGGAAGAGTTAAAGAATGCTCGGGCTACAAATCGGACCAATTTTGCTATCACATACCCGATCACCCACTTAAAGGACGGTAGGGCCGTATACAATGGGCACCAGCTTGGGGGCGTCACTGTGCACAGCAAGGATCGGGTGAAATCTGCAGAGGCCATTCAGCTCACCTATTACCTGCAGTCAATCAACAGTCTCAATGACATGGTGGCTGAGAGGTGGGAGTCCAGCTTCTGCGACACTGTCAAACTGTTCCAGAAATACAACAGTAAAGTCAAAATGTACCCTTACACATCCTCGTCACTGAGGGAAGATTTCCAGAAGACCAGCCGTGTGTCAGAACGTTACCTGGTCACCAGCCTGATCCTGGTAGTCACCATGGCCATCCTCTGCTGCTCTATGCAGGACTGCGTCCGCAGCAAACCCTGGCTAGGCCTGCTTGGGTTGGTAACCATAAGCCTAGCCACTCTCACTGCAGCTGGGATCATCAATCTTACTGGTGGGAAATACAATTCCACCTTCCTGGGAGTCCCTTTCGTCATGCTAGGTAATTACTGCCCTTCATTTTTCTTTTTTCTCCTGTTGATGGTGTTAACTGGGTCCCTAAAAGGTCAAAAATAGCCATATAACAATTTTGTTTCATTTATGCATCTTCATTGTGCTCAGAAGTCCTAGGATCCATTCTAAAAGGTGCTGGTCATCAGCAAGAAGCAACCCAATCTGATACATGTGCCAGAAACAGAAAGACTTGGGTTCTAGCCCTGATTTTCCATTAAATAGCTATGTGTATTTAGCAGACATTAATCTTCTCTGTGCCCCAGTGTTTTAAGTTGGGTTTCCTCAGAAGCAGACCCTGAAACAAGGATTCAGATACAAGGCATTTATTTGGGAAGAAAGCCCAGGAAGCACCAGTATGGCAGTGACAAAGTGAGACAGGGAAGGCAGACAGCTCAGATTGATGATCAGGTTACTGTTCTAGGCATCTGTGGCTCAGTCCTGCTGGAGACCTTTGGGAGAAATGGAAGAACACATCTCAATACAGGTCCTCCCCTGAGGGATGAGGAAGCTGTAATTTTTTTTAAAGAGAGAGAGAGAGAGAGAGAGAGAGAGAGAGAGAGAGAGAATTTTTAATATTAATTTTTTTTAGTTTTCGGCGGACACAACATCTTTGTTTGTGTGTGGTGTTGAGGACCGAATCTGGGCCGCATGCATGCCAGTCGAGCACGTTACCACTTGAGCCACATCCCTAGCCCAGGAAGCTGTAATATTTACCCAGAAATCCTGTGTGTGATTGATTCATTGAGGGATACTACTCAGGGTAGTTAAGTCCTCAGCACTTCCCCCAGAAAAAGTAAGCACACTCCTGCAGCCAAAGAAAGCCCTCAGGTAACTCTGTAGCAAGAAGCTTTCATTAAGTGCACGAATGGTGAATGGGAGGACACATGGGTTAGGCACTGATAATGTATTCAACCCACAGTTTCCCCACCTTATGGATAGGGTGGATGTGAGCAGCAAACAGAGGACAGCAACATGTGACATCAATAGGAAGTTTTCTTCTCCCTGCTTTTACTACAAACTCAAGAAAATATTTTAAAAGTGATGGTGATGGTGTGTTTTCAGTATATTCGCTCTAGGGGGCCTCAGGAATTCCCTGACAGAGATAATGGTGAAAACAAAGTCACTGTGGTCATAACATCAGTTGCTTTGTCCATTCAGTAAAAGAGATGAAATGTCCACCCAGCCTGATAGCAGAGCTCCTTACAGGCCAAGGATTCAAGCAGCTAGCATTCTCCCTTTTTTGTGTCAACTTCTCATCAATTCCTTTAGCAAAATTAAAATGTCATTCGGAATTAGATACTAACATTACAAATGAAGAGGCATTTTTTGTTGACTAGGAAATAACCATGATTGAGTTCATTAGTATGCCTTCTGTGCTATTTTGGAGTAGTAGAAAAACAAAGAATTTTCTCAGGAAATCTCAACTGCTTTATGGTTAAGTGATAGGCAGGGCTGGTGGAGCTGCAAGGCCACAAAATTACATTCTGCCCTCTATGCTCTGTGGCCTGAGGGAATTAAGACCTCGTCAATAAACATATACTAGTAGCTTTTGTGGAAAGTGGGGCACTGTGTGAAGACTAAGCAGTCTGAGAATTTGCTAGAGCAGTTTACTTGTCACTGCCAAAAACAACAGAGAACAGGATTGCAGTACTTCTTCCTGAGTTCAGTCTGTTAAGAGGGCAGTATAACTTGCTTCTTTAAAATAATCCCAAGACTATGTGGGTCGATTCTGGAATACAAGGAGGTGCCTTGAAGAGTGAGTAGGACTGAGTATTAGTAGCTTCCACAGAGACTTGAGTCAAGGTTTAAATTAAGATGTTTTGTTCATGATTAGTCACATGCTTAAGTGGTTGGGGGGTGGGTGGAAGGATTTTAGCTTTTCATTTTAAAAATAGCGTTTTTTGTTGTTGCTTTTGCAGGAGGAAGATAAACAGGAATAAGAAAAGGGTGGGGGACTGAAGGGAGATAGTAAGGTTCTTAAGGTGAGGGGAAAAGAATGTCAGAGCTAGAAAAAGGACTATTGCTGCTGGCTTTATGACACTCTAGGTTGTTACCAGTGAGCTTAAAGCACATTACAATATTTAAAGCTTCTTAAAAATTAATTGTACTAAGTAAAATAAAACTATGATTAAAGTTTCTTAGAATTAATTTTAAATAAAATAGCTGTATTCCAAATTCTGAAAATGAATTTTATTATATAAAATAAATTGCAGTATTTAATCCTTCTTAAAACTTATCTTTGTACTTTTTGAAGTAGTTTGAAATATTTTAAGTAAAAAGCAACACAAAAAAATAATATGAGGGGCTGGGGTTGTGGCTCTGTGGTGGAGCACTTGCCTAGCATGTGTGAGGCATTGGGTTCAATACTCAGCACCACGTATAAAGAAATAAAGATCCATTGACAACTAAAAAAAATATATTTTTTTAAAAGAATATGCAACACATGAGACATCATTGGGATTGCTGGGGCTGCAAGGCCACAGATTTTTTTTTCCTATTCCTGTTAGGAACTCAGGGGAAGGTTATAATGTGGTGGTGATGGTATATTCACTCTGAGGGGCTATAGGAAATCCTTGAAACAGAAAATGGTCAAAACAAAGCCACAGTGATCATAGCATCAGTTGCTCTCTCTGGTAGTACTAGATCTGGAAAGGAGGTAAGAGACGGTGGAATAGAATGATGCTGTAAGCACAGAAGTGTCTTTTAAAAACAAGTCCAGAAATAGTACATAGCTCCACAATTCAACAGAGACCAAGTATCGCTGAACTTTACATCAGAGTTCAATTCAGAAAAATCAGGCATTTTTAGTGAAAGAGAACAAGCACTGCAGGTGCCTAATATTCCCTTGTTTGCAATTTGTGAGGAATGTTACATGCATTGATTGTGATGGCAGTTTTCCCTGCTGACAATCAGTGTGCAACCTTTCTGTACATTTTCAGCCCAAAGAGTTCTCAAATTACCCAGTCACAACATAAAAGGAAGCTATGCATTTTAGTAGCTAAGGCCCATTTGCAATAAATACTTTGTGTGATATAATGAGTGCTTAATATGTTCATAAAGCTAACAGTGCCTGGATTTAGGACGGTTGCCCTTCTAGATTTCTCAGATAAACTCTTCATTCTTAGAGTATGATTGTAAAATGAAGTATAAGTGAGAGCAGATTCATAAATGTTGTATTCAAGACCAATGTTTAGTTGTGCTTTTTTTTGATGATGATCTGTCCTAAAATACCAATAAAAAATTCAAATGACCAAGAATTAATGCAGTGGTAAGGGTTTTGTACAAGTCAATTAACTGTCCAATTTGCCTGCCCATAACATCATAAGTGCTATGCTTAATCTAAGCAGATTTAAGCAAAATTTCTTGATTTTTAGTACATTTTATAAATAAAATATCAAATCAAATTTATTTATGATCTCATTTAGGGGGAAAACTATCTTAGAAAAAGTCTCAAATGCAGATATTTTCCTGGCTGTCAATAGGTCTATAATAGATAAACATTATAGACTTAAAATTCCACAAACATTCTCAGTGTGATGCCGGTCACATAAGGCCAGATCCAGCCACATGCCAAAATGGCAATAGATTTAGAATGGAAAATTTTAAGACCACGTGTGTTATGCAGTATTAAGCTGACAAAATTCCAGAAGAAGAAAGAATTTGGATAAACTCTGAGAGTTCACCATAATGGGATATGATTGTGTGTTTCTAGCCAAGATGATACGTGACATCTCTGGCAATAAGAATATATCCTACACTGATGAATCATTTTGGCAATGATGTAAGCATAGATACATCATGATTTAGAATGTTTTTAATCAGTGTCATGCATATTAGACCATCCCACTTCTGCCAAAACCTCTGTCCAGATGAGTCACATCAGTTTATTTAGAGCTGAAATCCTAAAAGGTCTATAGTATTATAAATGCTCATTGATATTTTTTAGTTACTGTAATTTGGAGAAGAGTTTATTTTGTCTATGTTTAATATCATGCATAAAATAACATTCCTTTTTTCCAAACTATATTGATATCAGGTAGTGAGGTACTTAGAATTTGTAAATATATCACACATCATTTTAATTCATTATCAAATTTCCTTTAAATGATGAGAATTCACACCGTTGTTCTCCAGTTGAGTATGCTTTAAGAAATTGGCATAGGTTTTGTATGTGCAAGCTCTCCTTATAGGCATACTATTTCCATAGCTTTGCTGATCAGACACAAATCAGGAAAGGAATGGAATGTTAGAGAATATAGAAGAAACAGAAGGAAGATTTTTCTTCCTTGTGCATATGGAAAGTTTGTTGCTTCATGTACATTCTGTGTTGCTAAAAGGAGAGAACTGAAGTCATGGTGAAAGATAGTTTAGGTATTAGTTCCTAAGTGGTAATCTATTTGTAAGGGTCACTTTGCCTTTATTGAGATACAAGACCCTGGAGATCAGATAAAATAAAAAATACTACTCAAGCCCCATTTCAAATGTTTAGAAATTTCAAAGAACACAAATATCCAGGGGTGCCCTCTTCCTTCTTTATTATCTAACCAGTCCATACAGATTCAAGGATGTGAAAGGAAGAAAATGTGGATTAAGTGCTAGGAGAAGAATAATAGCAGGGAAATCTGGCTTCTTCCAGCTATTATACCAAGATTTGCTGTATTTTTAGCAGAAATCAAGTTGGATTCAGTTCTTTAAGGCTTTGTTCTCATATTATGCCACTTGAAATATGATGCAGCATATGGAAAACATAAAAGTGGTTTGAGACTGGGTGTGGTGGTGCATGCCTGTAATCCAGTGATTCAGGAAGCTAAGGCAAGGCAGGATCACAAGTTCGAGGCTGCCCTCAGCAATTTAGTGAGGCCTGGCCTCAAAATAAAACACAAAAAAGGATTGGAGAAATAGCTCAGTGGCAAAGCAACCTGGGTTCAATCCCAAATACCAAAAACGGGGAGGGGTAAAAGTTCTTGTGTAAGAATTTAGGTCCACCTG